TTTACTTTTTCCATTTTGTTCCCACGAGCGTGGGGGATAGGTTGCGTAGGCAGCGTGGCCCCCTGCTACTACCTACGGTCTTGTACGCCGGGAGGGCGACAGGTACTCCCGGGTTTTACGCTAGCGACAGGTTTAACGCCCCTGCCACCACTAGGCACTCTCTCGGCACGTAGACCTTAGAGTGGACGAATTTTTTAAAGAGGTTGTCTCCTCGCGGCCCGGGCGGTTAAGCCAAGGCCCCCGTTCCTGACTAACTGGGCTGATAGACATGACATCAACACCTAGCGTCAGGGTTACGGTTTGCGATCGGGGGCACGATTGTGCCTGCCCGGCTGCGCAGTGAAGCACCCGCCAGGCCCGACCATGTCTCACTCAACGATGTCCCTCTAACTTGTAGAGGGCATGAAGAGGAGCGAACAATCGACGGCGCCAGACGGCGACGACGAAAACACAACAGTGTCGACGAGGACTCGGAACGGAAGTAGACGACGACATAAAATGTCGACAGAAAACAACACGAACGATGCCAACGACGACGGACAAACACTATATACAACACTTAACATTAATTTCACAAATATGGACAACACAGTCTATGTACAGTTATGTACAAGGTGGAGATGTGCCAGAGATGACACTCACACCCCACTCGGCGGACCATTCGGGGCTCCGGTGTCCTCGGCTGAACCGAGGTATGGGAGCCCACGAACTACCGACACCTCTGCCTGGATGGACATCGATGGTATTGTCCATCCCCTTCTCGCCGGACTATCGGCCGACATAGTAGCAGTATCCCGAAGGAACGTCTACTATCCCGCCCGGGGCGTACCAGAACCAAACCATTGCTCGGCCACCGTTCCCCGCGGACGTATCCACGAGGATGGGGAAGCCTCCCAATGGCAGGCCCATACTAGGAGGTTGCCCGACCCACGCCCCAACCTAACCTAACCTTTTTTTTTTTTTTTTTTACAAGGGGAAATCCGTCATGGAGACCCGCACGCCCCGGGGGAAGCGTGGGGGTACTGCCGGACTCCTACCGGCTAAAACCCCTTGGTGTCCTCCGAGCGCTTTGGTGCCAGGGTTACGGGATCATGATGATATTCAACCGTAAACCCCGGCAGCGCGGGCTCTTTAGCCCAGCTCCTGAGTGGCACCCGCGGACACCACGCGCGCCAACTCCTGGCCTCATACCTCCTTAGGTGACAGCTGACGCCCCCGCGTCAGCTGCCGCGAGGCCGGTGGTGGGAGGTGACGGGCCGGTCTCGGCCTCCATCTCCTCCACTCTCGCCACTTTCGGCGGACGACACCCTTTGGTGCTGCCCATACGGTGGTTCGCCTTCTTCTTCGCTGCCGCGCAATAGGGGCAGTGTGGGGCGGTGCACGATGCGGCCTTGTGGCCGTCTTGTCCGCAGCGGAAACTGGCTCCGCCGCGGTCCTCCTTGGCGGTGCACCGCTGGCCCACGTGACCCGTGAGCAGGCAGCGGTAACACCGCATCGGCCGGGGAGCCGGACCGCACCCGTGCCATGTCCACCCCACTCTCAGCTTGCCGGCGTCAACCAGCCGCTTGACAGCTCCAATAGGGCACCGCACCCAGATGGAGCCACCCCTGAGGGAGAGCGCCGGATCTCCCCCGTTTTCACGGAGGCCTCGGCGCAGTCTCCCTCGCGCAACGGCTGCCACCACTGCTGCTGCCGTTGTGGCGTCGTCCAGGTCCAGGATGCGGAACTCCGCGGACTTCCGGCCTGGACACGCTGACCACCTCTGCCGGTATGACTTCGGCCAGTTTAGCGGCAAGAGCATCAGCCTTCCCGCCACTCTCCTCCACTGGTCCCGGCACTTCGAGTATGCGGGAACCCGTTATGGCCAGCCTAAAGCCCAGCTCGGTGATTCCGAGGGCATCCAACTTGATCTTCTGTTGGGCCTCTCGGAGCACCGAGCTGTAGCTCGATCCCGCCTCCGCAGCTCCCGGCTGCAGTGTCAGAACTATCGCCGAGGATCGCGGGGAACGGAACTGACGCTTCCGTGCCCTTTTCCTTGTTGGTGGCCTCGTTCTGGGCCTCCGTGTGGCCTCCTTTTGGGCTGGTATTAGCCCCGCCTGTGGGTTGCCTGTGTGGCTGGGGCCGACTTCTGACCCTTTGCCGCTGGCCCGTTTTCCTCGCCGGACTACGGTCGTCCATTGCTCCGATGTAGATGGCGCCGGCTGAGAAGCGCTCACCCCTGCTCTACTAGTGCTGGCTACAGGGGCCGCATTTTTCCCCTTTCTTGGCTGCCCCAGGTGTTCGGGGTGCAGCCGTGGTCCGTTTTGGCGGCGGGTTTTCTGCCTGCCGACAAGCTCCTCAATCCTCTCAAACCGGGCATTAAAAATGTCCCCGATTTGGCGGACTATTCTCGCGCCTCGACACCCTCGGTGATTACCGGCGTTTCGCGCGGCTCAGCACTTTGAGCGCCGGATGTCGTATCCATGGCCGCACTATGTGGCTGATTGCCAGTGCAGCTTTGGCTGCCGCCAATTCATCAAGCGCGTAGTGAGCGCCAGGCGGTCCTCCGTTACTCCTTTTAGTACCTCAGCTCTGGTAGGAGTTCGGGTCGCGTGATCTCTCGCTCCCACTCCGCCCTTCGCCTTGAGCATCGCAGCTCGTTCATGTCCTGGCCGGCGGACCCCATGGTCTTCTTCTTTGAGGTCCCTTAGCTCCACATAATATTTGGCGGATTCCTCTCTGATGCCCGTCATCATTCGCGCATGTCCGCCAAGTCGCGCGACAACCGAGAGTTCTCACGACGCAATGCTGCGCACTCCGTTGACGAGGTCCTCCCTTCCAGCGATTCAGACGCCGCGCGGATGGAAGCGACGGCGTCCTTAATTTCTTTCACCACTGTGCCCTTCAAGTGACCGGACTTCTTGACGGCATCAAGTACCTTGAGAGCACACTCCTGAATTTCCGAAACAAGGACGTCGGAGCGCTGCGCATCCTCAGCTGATGGTCTGCGGGTGGTAGGGCGCGACGCCGGTTTCGGGGTAGCCGCTTTTACTGCAGCTGCCGCCTCCATCTCTATGTCTTTCTGGGTAGCGGCGGCCAACTCAGCCTTCGCCTGCGCCAAATCGGGGTCACTTTCTCCTCCTGTCGTCTTTTTTGTCAGCCCACTACTGCCACCCACTTTTGTGACCTCGTCCTCCTTGCCGCAGATGGTGCGCGGGTTTTTGTCCCGGTGTTTTAAAAACGATCTTCGGGTGCGCCCATCCTCCGGTTTCGACTTCCAACGATCCGCCTCTTGCGCTGAGATCGTCGTTGCGGCAACGGTGTTGATGTGCCGGCAACGTCGCTTCCTCCTTCAGAATCCAAGGAGAGACTCGATCTTCGAGAAATCTGAATCTAATCCCTCCATTGCTTCTGTCCATTATCGTCCAGCAGCCTCTCCACAAACTCCCTCCTCTCTGCATCTACCTCTTCCACATCTCCCCACTCATGGCATAAGCTGTCCCCCCCAGAATACTCGGGACGGCCCACCCCCGGCGAATCCGGTGCGGTGGGGAAGGATTCTCCAGCCTTGCTGGTACCTTCCTGGGGTAATATTTGCTTTTCACTGTCTGCCATAGTCGTCTGTTATCCTTTTTTACCCGGGTGAGGTCCCGCAGACAAAGACGAAAACGAAAACGAAGAATAAGGGGACAGAAAGGATATAGGACAGGAAAGGAAACAAAACATAAAACAAAACGAAGAAAACAAAAACAAAAACCAAAAACCAAGAAGAAACTATGTACATATTTACAACCTAAACCTAACTATTTACAAATAAATAACTTAACCTAACTATATACACACACTATTTACACTCCTACCTACTCGCCGGACTATCGGCCGACATAGTAGCAGTATCCCGAAGGAACGTCTACTATCCCGCCCAGGGCGTACCAGAACCAAACCATTGCTCGGCCACCGTTCCCCGCGGACGTATCCACGAGGATGGGGAAGCCTCCCAATGGCAGGCCCATACTTGGAGGTTGCCCGACACACGCCCCAACCTAACCTAACCTAACCTAACCTAACCTTTTTTTTTTTTTTTTTTTTTTTTTTTTTTTTTTTTTTTAACGTGTGGAAAAATCTTCAAAAGACCGTCACCCCGCCGGAGGGATGGCGAGGTGGTGTGTGGGACTTGTACCCACTAAAAAACCACACGGTGTACCTACGAGCGCCTATGCCGGAGCCAGGGGATCGCAAGTGCATTCTACCCCAGCTCCGACGGCGACGGCCCGCCCTGTAGATGTTGTAGGGCAGGCCCCATCTCGTTTTGTGGTTAGGGCGACCTATTTCGCCCTACTCCATTGTGGAGGCGTGTGGGTACACGCGCACACCTCCGGGGCCTTTGGATTGGGGGGACTGCCTCCCTCAAGGCAGTCACCCCGGCCCCAGTGGGGGATAGAGGGGGGCGGAGTTGGGTACGCCCCCACCTCTAGGCCTGGCTCTTCTGCGGCGGAGGGAAGCGGGACGAGCTGACTCCCGCTCCCTTTCCGCCGCCTCCTTCCGCGAGATAACTTCCTCGCAGAAGGAGCTCACCGCCAGCCACGATCTCTCGCTACTGATCATCCTCCGAACTAAATTCGGCAGCGAGAGATCGTCCCCCACTATTCGTGTGAGGACACGGCGCTCACTCTCAAACGCTGGACATATTTCCAGCGTGTGTTGCGCCGTGTCCGCCACACCTCCGCACTCGTGGCAGCCGGTCGTCGGCTCCTTCCTCGCCACATGACACAGATACCGCCCGAAGCACTCGTGCCCGGACAGTATCTGTGTCATGCGGTACGTCAGTGGCCATCTCCTATTCATCCACCGTTTGAGGATGGGACGGACAGCCTCGACGGTCCTCAGGCCGGCCGATGGACTGGCCAGCCTTTCGCCCGCCATTCGATCCTGAGGATCCGCCGAGAGTCGGACCTCCGCGCTTCAATCTCGTGACCAGCGGGTGCCTCCCCCATGGAACGTCGCTCCGCGCGCCAGTGGTACACTGACGCGTGGAGCTCCGCTACCAAGTCCCACGGAGGAGACCCCGCCAGCAGACCCGCCGCTTCCCCGGATATGGTGCGGTAGCCTCTAATGGCCCTGATGGCCATGGCCCTGTGTGGCCTGTTAAGACAGGCCACATTTTCCCTACCTAGGGCCCCCACCCAGATGGGGGCCCCGTACAGGGCCATGGACCGCACCACGCCGAGGTATAGGCGGCGGGAACCTTCTCCCGGGCCCCTCACATTTGGCAGCAGCCAGCTAAGAGCGCCGGCGGCTGCCATAAGGCGAGGGACCAGGTTCCGGAAATGAGCGCGGAAGCTCCAACGACTGTCCAGGTCAAGCCCCAAATACCTAATACAGGGCTTGACCCCCACCCTCTGGCCACTGACGACCAGCTGGGCATCCGGAGGTGGCGCGCGCCGAGGCCCATGAAAACACAGGACCTCGGTCTTCTCCAGCGCCACCTGGAGCCCAAGCCTCCTTATTCGGCCGACGACCAGCGCCACGCTTGCCGTGGCAAAGCGGGTAGCCTCCCGTAGGTCCCGCCCCCGGGCAGTGACCAAGGTGTCATCCGCGTAACACACGAGGTCAGTGCCCGTTAAAAGGGCGCCCCGCAGGTTCCAATCATACCCGATGTTCCACAGGATCGGGCCCAGAACCGACCCCTGTGGAACACCGCGTTGCATTTCCCTCGGCACTACAACGCCGTTCCGCCCCGTGCATAGCACAGACCTGTCTTCGAGATAGGCCCCGATCACGTCCCGAATGTAGGGAGGCGCGCGATGGTATTTCAGCGCCTCCCTAATAGTCGCAAAGGGCAGGGTGTTGAAGGCGTTCTTAATGTCTAGAGAGACCGCCAACAACACCCCACCCTGGGACGTCGCCTCTTCCGAGAGGGAGCGCACACGCGAGATCGCGTCGATCGTCGAGCGCCCCTCTCGGAACCCGAACTGCTTCGGGCTGAGATCGGGACCTACCTGAGACAGGTGTTGGACGAGTCGGCCCGCCAAGATTCGCTCGAAGAGCTTGCCGATCTCGTCCAACAGCACTATGGGGCGGAACGCCGAGGGAACCACCGAACCTGCGGGGTGCTCCGCTTTGCGGAGCAGGACCACTCTACCCGCTTTCCACTGATTGGGAAACCGTCCCGACTCCAGACACGCATTGAACAAGCGCCGGAGTCGGTCCCCTAGGGTGTTTAGGGCCAAGGCCAGGACGCGGCCGTGGATACCATCCGGACCCGGGGCGACATTCTTGCCCCGGAGTTTATCCACGGCCGCGGCGAACTCCTCCTCGGTGATGGCAGGAACCGCAGCAGCGCTGACGCCGCTGGCCTCTCCATCACTGCCACGCGGCATCATCGGAGGAGGTGTGAAGGGAGGCTGTCTCGGGAACAGCTCCTCCAACACCTCCTCCCTGCTGCGGCTGGAGACCCTCTGCCACGGGGGCGCCCAGGGGCGTAATTTGCCCCTGACGAACCTATAAGGACGCCCCCATGGATCCCTGTCCAGGGTCTCCAGGAGTTCTTCCCTGGCTGTCTCCTTGGCCCTGCTGATGGACAGCTGCAGAGCTTTCTTCCTCTCTTTGTACTGCTCGTACAGCTGTGCTTCCTCGTCGGCGTCGCGGCCCCGCCTGAGTCGGCGGTGCCTGGTGTACCGGCGGCGGGCGGCGGAGCACTCCTCCCTTAACGCCGCTATCTCCTCCGACCACCAGTACACCGGACGCCTAGGAGGTCGAGGGCCGGCTCGGGGCATCGCCGCGTCGCAAATGTGCGACAGAGCCTCACCGAACCAGCCCACCTCTGCGTCGACCTCCACAGGCCCCTCCGGTATGGGAACCCAGGCCTGGACGATGGAAGCCTCCATCAGCACGTCTTTATTCAGACGTTTCAACACCCATCTGGGGAGTTGTGGGACATTCCTCTCCTGGCGACCGGGGTGCGGAGCTACGGGTGAGGGGAGAACATCTATCCGGATATACCGATGATCGGATAGAGTCTCACACCTCATCCAACACCTTTTTTTTTCTGTGCGATCGCTGGACTGCAGAGGGATACGTCGACATGCGACTCCCCCTGCTGTCTCACGCACGTGGCGGCCGACCCTCGGTTCAACACCACCAGGCCGGCCGCGGCCGCCCAGTCTTCCAGGACCCTGCCTCGAGAGTCGGTGATGGGGGAGCCCCATGCCGTGGATTTGGCATTGAAGTCCCCCATCACCATCAAGAGCGGCCCCCAGCCCGTCCATGAACTGCTCGAACTCGGCGAGAGTCCTGTTCGAGAATGTCCCGACAACGATTCCCCCCACCTAGACGCCATGCCAACCCCCCCAGGATCACCCCGTCGACCGCAACTCCGACTGGCGGTGGCCTTGGGCGCGCGCACTGCCCGAACTCGGTTCCCTTGGGAACCCACCAGTCCTGTCGGAGAGAAGGCCACATGCGCGCGACGGCCGACGGTTGGGCCGATGATGGGGTGGAGGACCGCCCCCGCGGTCGTCACACCGATCTAGGCTAGCCCGGCGCCGGGTACACCGTCTCCGCCCTTTCTCCGCCGAATGACGCGAGCGTCGCTGGGAGGGGAGGTGTCCATCCCCTCCTCTGCATTTTTCCTACGGCCTGCACCGACAATGGACACTGTGAGGCGGGCCAGAGGACCCCCATCCAGGCCCTTTTGGGGGTGCACTTCTTGCTCCCCACCCAATGGTCTGCCGGCCGCCCCTGGTGCCCCTCATGATGGCCGTTTGGACGCAGCCGCTCGCTGCGCATCTGGGGCTGCGGCGCACGCTGCGACTTTGTGCTCGCAAGGCAGGTCAACAAAGCCCGCTGCGGCCACCTTCCTCCTGCGCGCCCCCTGACATGCCCACTTTGTAGGCATCGGAAGCACCGCAGCGGACCGTTGCCGCAGCAGCTCCACCTTCGCGGCCACCCACGCCTAGCCGCATGTGGCCCCTCCGCCGTGACCTTTTTTACGGCTTTGCCATGGTAGGGCCCGGACTTTCGTCCTCCGCGAGCAAGACCGCCCAAGGCTTTGGGGGGTCTCCCTTCTAATGGGTCCGTTAAAGGGAGAGACCTTGACGTCCCCGGCCACCACCGCCATCACGCGCAACGGCGCCTCTTCGGCGACATCCTCCGGCGATCCCTGGAGTGAGTCATCCAGGCCCATGACCCGCATTTCGGCGGTTTTTGAGGGCCTGGAGTATTCGCCACATCCTCCGGGAATAAGGGCCTGGAGAGACGCGATCCAAAAAACCAAGCGTCGGCCCCTTCCGCGCTGTGGGCCACGGGATCCCAGGAACAAATGTCTAGCCCGCCCCCGGTCACTATTGCAGTTCCGCCGCATATCCTCTATACCGAGGGGGCGCAGGTTTCCTCCTTTGCCTCCGTCAGGATGTTGGCGCAGGTGACCGACGCTTCCCGCCGTTTCCATCTCGTGCCGATGGGACCACCGCCGCTGAGCGGGGCAGTCGCAACTTCGAAGGGAGCGGCGGGGTCGCCTTCTTCTTGGGAACCTTTTTTTTTTTTTTTTTTTAACGTGTGGAAAAATCTTCAAAAGACCGTCACCCCGCCGGAGGGATGGCGAGGTGGTGTGTGGGTCTTACGGGTTTCCCTCATTCATTTGACCCACCGCGGTCCCCACACGGTGTACCTACGAGCGCCTATGCCGGAGCCAGGGGACGCCAGTTAACCATCACATAAAAGCCGCGGACGGCGCTCTAATTAAAAGTCCCACGGAGCGAGACCGCCGCCAGGAACCGCAGTCCCCACTACCAAAAATTACGCGTCCGAGCCACATATAGGGATAATCGCAGGGGTCAACGGGAACCGCAGTGCAATGGGAAGGCCTCCCTGGGGGAACCGCCCTCTTGATGCCCGGGGGCGCCCAGGGGTATTCTCCACGGACCTTTTTTTTTTTTTTTTTTTTTTTTTTTAAGGACGCCCCCATGGATCCCTGTTTCTCCGAAGTTCTTCCCTGGCCTGTGGAGCCCTGCTGATGGACAGCTGCAGAGCTTCTCTTCCTCTCTTTGTACCTCGTACAGCTGTGCTTCCTCCGCGGCACCCGCCTGAGTCCTCGGTGCCTCGAATACCGGCGGCGGGCGGCGCCTTCGGTACTCCCGCCCTCGCCGCAATCTCCTCCGACCACCATTCCTGACGCCTAGGAGGTCGAGGAACTAAATCGGCATGGTTCCCGCGCCTCGCACTCCGGGACCTTCCCTCTAGGCGTCGACCTCCACAGGCAGTCTCTGCCGCCGGTATGGGACAGGCCTGGACCCTAAGCCTCCCAGCGGCGTGAGCTTCGGATTTTCAACACCCATCTGGCTATCTCCTTCCACCTCTCCTGGCGACCGGGGTGCCGGAGCAAACGGGTTCGCCGAACGATGCCCACCTGCGTCGACCTCAGGTGTCCATCGGATAGCGTCTCCACCTCATCCAACACCTGCCAGCTCCGACCCTCTGTGCGATCGCTGGACTGCAGAGGGATACGTCGACATGCGACTCCCCTGCTGTCTCACGCACGTGGCGGCCGACCCTCGGTTCAACACCACCAGGCAGTCTTCCAGGACCCTGCCAGTACCGGTGATGGGGGAGCCCCATGCCGTGGATTTGGCATTGAAGTCCCCCATCACCATCATTGGACGGGCCGAGTATAGCTCCAGAGCGGCCCCCAGCCCGTCCATGAACTGCTCGAACTCGGCGAGAGTCCTGTTCGGAGAGAAGTATGTCCCGACAACGACGGTTTCCCCCCAACTCACACCTATGTACCCCGCTCCGCCGAATAGGCGGCTGACGAGCGGGGTCGCGGGGGGCCCGCGCCGACAATGGCCACCAGGCCAGAGGGGTCGCCGAACCAATGGTCACTTCGTGGGACACGATATGGTTCGGCGACCACTGCAAGGTCAACTCCCCACTGCGCCGCGCTCTGCAGAAGCAGATCTTGGGCGCGCGCGCAGTGGTTGAGATTCCCCTGCAGGAGGCGATGGACTGCCATTATTGACCGGTGTCCATCACCTCAGCCTCTCCCCGGCGGCCATTGCCGCGGGCCGACGACAGTGCGGATCCCCTCTTTTTGTTTCGGGACTGGGGGCACTTTTTGGCCCCCACCCGATGGTCGGCTGGGCGACCCGCCGCTGCGCAAACCACGCAGTGTGGGGCCGCCGAACATCCGGCCGCTTTGTGGCCGGGAACCCCACACCGGTAGCATAAGCCACTCCGGTCCTCCTCGTGCGAGCACCTGGCCAGCACGTGCCCGCTTTCGAGGCACCGGAAGCACCGGAGTGGCTTCTGCCGCAGCAGCTCCACAGCGGCTGAGACCCAGCCGATCCGGATCCGCCCTGCCGTCGTCACCTTCTTGACCGCGGCCAATGGGGCCCGCACCCAGCAGGTGCCCAGGCCCGACGCGCCGCGCCGAATTTCCCCGACATTGACGGCGTCCGCCGTGCACTCGCCGTGCTGTGCCACGGCGGCCGCCACATCCTCCCGGTCGGTACCGTCATCCAGGCCCATGACCCTCATCTCCGCGGTCTTGGTGGGCCTGGCGATGCGGACCGTACCTTCCGGGAAGACGTCCCGGAACTTCGACGCGAGCGCGTCGGCCTGGTCTCCCGTCTGGGACCCTGGGATCTCCAGGATCCGGGCCCCAGTAGCCGCGGTCTTGAAGCGCAGGCTTCCTATCCCCAAGGAGGCGAGGTTGATTTTATCCTTCGCCTCCTTGAGGACGGCGGAGTAAGTGACCCCCGCCGCTTCTGCCTCCGGACAGAGTGTGACGACCACAGCCGCCGATCGCGGCGCACGCAATTTCGATGGCGACGGCGGGGCCGGCTTAGCCTTCTTCCCCTGAGAGGGAGCCCCAGAGGCCTGAGTACTTTGAGTACTCTGAGTCTGCCTCTCAGAGACGTTGCGGTTTTTGCCGCCCCGTCGCACCACCGTGCTCCAACCATCGTTTGCGCGCCCCGCGCCCGACGGCCCCGGCCGCTGACTGCCAGAGGCAGGCCGGATGGTAGGTTGACTCGCCGGAAGCGGCGGGAATTCCGCACCTTGCGCCCCCCGCAGATGGGGAGCGTCTCTGAAGCCCGGTCCCCCTGCGCCAGGAATGCGGGACAAAACCTCGTACTGCCCGTCGCTTTGCAGCGGCGGGCGGTGTACCGGGCGGATCGACGCCTCCTGAAGGTATTGGACTCGTGAGATCATCTCCTTCAACTCCTGGAATCGGGCGTCGACCATCAGCCCGGTCGAGCGGAGGAGTTCCGCCCGCAGGTCCTCACTATCCACCGGCTCGGGGGTCGGGCCAGGGGGTGCCCTCACCCTCGCAGGCCCCTGTGGTGCCTGGGAAGCGGCTGAAGGGGTTTGCGGCCCCGACCTCGCCGCGAGTTGCCGCATCTGGGCTTGGAGCGCCTGGAGTTGGCTTCGGAGCTCCTTATTCTCCTTACGGAGCTCCTCCACCTGTCCTTCCAACTTCCGGCGCTCGACGGCACCCGCGGTGAAGTCCTTGTTGACGACGGCACTGCTGTCAAGCTCCTCTGCCATCATCAACACGGAGCCGATGGACTCCTTCAGCCGCCTCTGGTCAGCCCCCTTCAGGTTCCCGCACCTGTGAACCGTGTCCAAGGCAGCCCCCAGCTTTTTCTGGGCTTCCGCCCTGAACACGGCCACAGGCTGCGGGTCCTCCTTTGGGGGGACCTTCCCCTTCCCCACAGGGACCCCCGACGGACGGATAAACGTCCCGTCCTCTCCTCTCTTGTCCTGCCGCCGGGACTTCGGCGACGTGGTCGGACTCTCCGGGCCCACAGGTACCATCAAAACCACCCCGTTCCCGGACGACGGGCAGGGGATCTTGGACGGCTTGGCACTCCCGCCCGCCGCCCCGGAAGGGCCCGGTCCATCCGCGTGCGGCCGCTTCGGCACGGCCGTTTTCGCGAGTCCATCCACGGTGGACACCAGGCACCCGGACATCTCGTCCTCCATCATCATCGAGCGCGTCGAGCGCGTAGAGCGCGTCGACGACGCTGAGGAGGGCCGAGATGCCCGCGACCTGGCCCGAGAGACGGGCCGCGACCTCGCCGACCGCACCGTGTCGGCGTCCGCCAGCGTGATCGAGTCCGACATGGACCAGAACGCTAAGTCCCGGGGCAGGGACACACACTCCTCGTCCCCCCCAGCGGGGGACGGGAAGAAGAGGGGCTGCTGCCACCAGCCAACTCCTCAAATTGTTGGGAGCAACGATGCCGCGCCCGACCGAGGTCGGGCGGATACTACGGAGGCTAGCGCCTCCACGAATTTCTCCAGGGTTTACCCCCGAGCGGGCACACCAGACAGGAGTTACCTCCGTGCAAACCCCGGTGATACACCACAACACCTCAGCGCAGACAAACAAAAAAGAAACAAAAACTTAACCAATAATAAAAAAACGAAAAAAAAAACCGCGCGTGGAAAAACCTTAAATCCTCGAACTTGGAACTTTCCTTTTTTTTTTTTTTTTTTTTTTTTTTTTTTTTTTAACGTGTGGAAAATCTTCAAAAGACCGTCACCTCGCCGGAGGGATGGCGAGGTGGTGTGTGAGACTTGACTCACTAAAAACCACACGGTGTACCTACGAGCGCCTATGCCGGATATTCGCATGTGCATTCTACCCCAGCTCCGACGGCGACGGCCCGCCCTGTAGATGTTGTAGGGCAGGCCCCATCTCGTTTTGTGGTTAGGGCGACCTATTTCGCCCTACTCCATTGTGGAGGCGTGTGGGTACACGCGCACACCTCCGGGGCCTTTGGATTGGGGGGACTGCCTCCCTCAAGGCAGTCACCCCGGCCCCAGTGGGGGATAGAGGGGGGCGGAGTTGGATCCGCTCCCACCTCTAGGCCTGGCTCTTCTGCGGCGGAGGGAAGCGGGACGAGCTGACTCCCGCTCCCTTTCCGCCGCCTCCTTCCGCGAGATAACTTCCTCGCAGAAGGAGCTCACCGCCAGCCACGATCTCTCGCTACTGATCATCCTCCGAACTAAATTCGGCAGCGAGAGATCGTCCCCCACTATTCGTGTGAGGACACGGCGCTCACTCTCGAACGCTGGACATTCGTCCAGCGTGTGTTGCGCCGTGTCCTCAACACCTCCGCACTCGTGGCAGCCGGTCGTCGGCTCCGTCCTCGCCACATGACACAGAACCGCCCAAAGCACAACTGCGTCATAACCTGGCCACTATCCTCTCGAAGAACGTCCTCTCTCTCGCCTTTCTCTCTCAGTCGTCCTTTACTTCCCCTTTCTCGTGACCCATCTTCCCATGGAACGAGCTCACGCCACTACGCGTGGATCTCCCCCCCAGAAGCACACGGACAGACGGCCCACCCCCGGCGACATCCTTTCGGTGGGGAGATGGGAACAAGCGTCTTTCCAGATGGACTGTACCTTCCTGGCCTGTTCTTGACTTTCCTGCCATCCTGAGGACCCGGGTGAGGTCCCGCAGAAGAAGTAACGAGAAAAAGAAAAAGAAACAAACTAAAGGGCTCTTCTTGGGAACCTAACCTAACCTTTTTTTTTTTTTTTTTTTTAACGTGTGGAAAAATCTTCAAAAGACCGTCACCCCGCCGGAGGGATGGCGAGGTGGTGTGTGGGACTTGTACCCACTAAAAACCACACGGTGTACCTACGAGCGCCTATGCCGGAGCCAGGGGATTCGCAAGTGCATTCTACCCCAGCTCCGACGGCGACGGCCCGCCCTGTAGATGTTGTAGGGCAGGCCCCATCTCGTTTTGTGGTTAGGGCGACCTATTTCGCCCTACTCCATTGTGGAGGCGTGTGGGTACACGCGCACACCTCCGGGGCCTTTGGATTGGGGGACTGCCTCCCTCAAGGCAGTCACCCCGGCCCCAGTGGGGGATAGAGGGGGCGGAGTTGGGTACGCCCCCACCTCTAGGCCTGGCTCTTCTGCGGCGGAGGGAAGCGGGACGAGCTGACTCCCGCTCCCTTTCCGCCGCCTCCTTCCGCGAGATAACTTCCTCGCAGAAGGAGCTCACCGCCAGCCACGATCTCTCGCTACTGATCATCCTCCGAACTAAATTCGGCAGCGAGAGATCGTCCCCCACTATTCGTGTGAGGACACGGCGCTCACTCTCGAACGCTGGACATTCGTCCAGCGTGTGTTGCGCCGTGTCCTCAACACCTCCGCACTCGTGGCAGCCGGTCGTCGGCTCCTTCCTCGCCACATGACACAGATACCGCCCGAAGCATCCGTGCCCGGACAGTATCTGTGTCATGCGGTACGTCAGTGGCCATCTCCTATTCATCCACCGTTTGAGGATGGGACGGACAGCCTCGACGGTCCTCAGGCCGGCCGATGGACTGGCCAGCCTTTGCTCCGCCATTGATCCTGAGGATCCGCCGAAAGTCGGACCTCCGCGCTTCGATCTCATGACCAGCGGGTGCCTCCCCATGGAACGTCGCTCCGCGCGCCAGTGGTACACTGACGCGTGGAGCTCCGCTACCAAGTCCCACGGAGGAGACCCCGCCAGCAGACCCGCCGCTTCCCCGGATATGGTGCGGTAGCCTCTAATGGCCCTGATGGCCATGGCCCTGTGTGGCCTGTTAAGACAGGCCACATTTTCCCTACCTAGGGCCCCCACCCAGATGGGGGCCCCGTACAGGGCCATGGACCGCACCACGCCGAGGTATAGGCGGCGGGAACCTTCTCCCGGGCCCCTCACGTTTGGCAGCAGCCAGCTAAGAGCGCCGGCGGCTGCCATAAGGCGAGGGACCAGGTTCCGGAAATGAGCGCGGAAGCTCCAACGACTGTCCAGGTCAAGCCCCAAATACCTAATACAGGGCTTGACCCCCACCCTCTGGCCACTGACGACCAGCTGGGCATCCGGAGGTGGCGCGCGCCGAGGCCCATGAAAACATAGGACCTCGGTCTTCTCCAGCGCCACCTGGAGCCCAAGCCTCCTTATTCGGCCGACGACCAGCGCCACGCTTGCCGTGGCAAAGCGGGTAGCCTCCCGTAGGTCCCGCCCCCGGGCAGTGACCAAGGTGTCATCCGCGTAACACACGAGGTCAGTGCCCGTTAAAAGGGCGCCCCGCAGGTTCCAATCATACCCGATGTTCCACAGGATCGGGCCCAGAACCGACCCCTGTGGAACACCGCGTTGCATGTCCCTCGGCACTACAACGCCGTTCCGCCCCGTGCATAGCACAGACCTGTCTTCGAGATAGGCCCCGATCACGTCCCGAATGTAGGGAGGCGCGCGATGGTATTTCAGCGCCTCCCTAATAGTCGCAAAGGGCAGGGTGTTGAAGGCGTTCTTTATGTCCAGAGAGACCGCCAACAACACCCCACCCTGGGACGTCGCCTCTTCCGAGAGGGAGCGCACACGCGAGATCGCGTCGATCGTCGAGCGCCCCTCTCGGAACCCGAACTGCTTCGGGCTGAGATCGGGACCTACCTGGGACAGGTGTTGGACGAGTCGGCCCGCCAAGATTCGCTCGAAGAGCTTGCCGATCTCGTCCAACAGCACTATGGGGCGGAACGCCGAGGGAACCACCGAACCTGCAGGGTGCTCCGCTTTGCGGAGCAGGACCACTCTACCCGCTTTCCACTGATTGGGAAACCGTCCCGACTCCAGACACGCGTTGAACAAGCGCCGGAGTCGGTCCCCTAGGGTGTTTAGGGCCAAGGCCAGGACGCGGCCGTGGATACCATCCGGACCCGGGGCGACATTCTTGCCCCGGAGTTTATCCACGGCCGCGGCGAACTCCTCCTCGGTGATGGCAGGAACCGCAGCAGCGCTGACGCCGCTGGCCTCTCCATCACTGCCACGCGGCATCATCGGAGGAGGTGTGAAGGGAGGCTGTCTCGGGAACAGCTCCTCCAACACCCCCTCCAGCTGCTGCGGCTGGAGACCCTCTGCCACGGGGGGCGCCCAGGGGCGTAATTTGCCCCTGACGAACCTATAAGGGCGCCCCCATGGATCCCTGTCCAGGGTCTCCAGGAGTTCTTCCCTGGCTGTCTCCTTGGCCCTGCTGATGGACAGCTGCAGAGCTTTCTTCCTCTCTTTGTACTGCTCGTACAGCTGTGCTTCCTCGTCGGCGTCGCGGCCCCGCCTGAGTCGGCGGTGCCTGGTGTACCGGCGGCGGGCGGCGGAGCACTCCTCTCTCAACGCCGCTATCTCCTCCGACCACCAGTACACCTGACGCCTAGGAGGTCGAGGGCCGGCTCGGGGCATCGCCGCGTCGCAAATGTGCGACAGAGCCTCACCGAACCAGCCCACCTCTGCGTCGACCTCCACAGGCCCCTCCGGTATGGGAACCCAGGCCTGGACGATGGAAGCCTCCATCAGCACGTCTTTATTCAGACGTTTCAACACCCATCTGGGGAGTTGTGGGACATTCCTCTCCTGGCGACCGGGGTGCGGAGCTACGGGTGAGGGGAGAACATCTATCCGGATATACCGATGATCGGATAGAGTCTCCACCTCATCCAACACCTGCCAGCTCCGCACCCTCTGTGCGATCGCTGGACTGCAGAGGGATACGTCGACATGCGACTCCCCCTGCTGTCTCACGCACGTGGCGGCCGACCCTCGGTTCAACACCACCAGGCCGGCCGCGGCCGCCCAGTCTTCCAGGACCCTGCCTCGAGAGTCGGTGATGGGGGAGCCCCATGCCGTGGATTTGGCATTGAAGTCCCCCATCACCATCATTGGACGGGCCGAGTATAGCTCCAGAGCGGCCCCCAGCCCGTCCATGAACTGCTCGAACTCGGCGAGAGTCCTGTTCGGAGAGAAGTATGTCCCGACAACGACGGTTTCCCCCCAACTCACACCTATGTACCCCGCTCCGCCGAATAGGCGGCTGACGAGCGGGGTCGCGGGATTGCCCGCGCCGACAATGGCCACCAGGCCAGAGGGGTCGCCGAACCAATGGTCACTTCGTGGGACACGATATGGTTCGGCGACCACTGCAAGGTCAACTCCCCACTGCGCCGCGCTCTGCAGAAGCAGATCTTGGGCGCGCGCGCAGTGGCGCGCGCTGCAGGAGGCGATGGACTGCCATTATTGACCGGTGTCCATCACCTCAGCCTCTCCCCGGCGGCCATTGCCGCGGGCCGACGACAGTGCGGATCCCCTCGCTCTCTTGGACCGGGACTGGGGGCACTTTTTGGCCTCCACCCGGTGGTCGGCTGGGCGACCCGCCGCTGCGCATACCACTCAGTGTGGGGCCGCCGAACATCCGGAACCCCACATCGGTAGCACAAGCCACTCCAGTCCTCCTCGTGCAAGCACCTGGCCAGCACGTGCACGGTCTCAAGGCACCGGAAGCACCGGAGTGGCTTCTGCCGCAGCAGTTCCACAGCGGCCGAGAGCCAGCCGATCCGGATCCGCCCTGCCGTCGTCACCTTCTTGACCGCGGCCAATGGGGCCCGCACCCAGCAGGTGCCCAGGCCCGACGCGCCGCGCCGAATCTCCCCGACATTGACGGCGTCCGCCGTGCACTCGCCGTGCTGTGCCACGGCGGCCGCCCCCACTTCCCGGTCGGTACCGTCATCCAGGCCCATGACCCTCATCTCGGCGGTCTTGGTGGGCCTGAGAGACCGGACCGTACCTCCCGGGAAGACGTCCCGGAACTTTTCGACGCGAGCGCGTCGGCCTTATCTCCCGTCTGGGACCCTGGGATCTCCAGGATCGCGCCCCAGTGAGCCGCGGTCTTGAAGCGCAGCTTCCTATCCCCAAGGAGGCGAGGTTGATTTTTCCTTCGCCTCCTTGAGGACGGCCGCGTAAGTCACCCCCGCCGCTTCTGCCTCCGGACAGCGAGTGTAAAACCACCGCCGCCGATCGCGGGGCACGCCTTTCGATGGCGGCTTCCTTCTTCCCCTGAGAGGGAGCCCCAGAGCTCCTTTGGAGCAGCGATTGAGTACTCTGCGGGTCTGCCTCTCAGAGGCGGTTTTTGCCGCCCCGTCGCACCACCGTGCTCCAACCTTCGTTTGCGCGCCCCGCGCCCGACGGCCCCGGCCGTTGACTGCCAGAGGCAGGCCGGCTGGCGGGTTGTCTCGCCGGAAGCGGCGGGAATTCCGCACCTTGCGCCCCCGCAGATGGGGAGCGTCCGAAGCCCGGTCCCCCTGCGCCGCGGGACTTTCCTCGTACTGCCCGTCGCTTTGCAGCGGCGGGCGGTGAACCGGGCGGACAGCAGGCGCAGTTGGAAGGGATTGCACTTCGTGAGGAGGGAGCCGCTCCTGGGAATCGGGCGTCGACCATCAGCCCGGCTCTCGGAGGAGTTCCGCCCTGCAGGTCCTCAGTATCCACTGCTCGGGGCCGGGCCCCTCCCTCGCAGGTTCTCCTGTGGGCCTGGGAAGAAGCCGAAGGGGTTTTGCCCCGACTCGCCGCTGCGCCGCATCTGGGCTTGGAGTTCCTGGAGTTGGCTTCGGAGCTCCTTATTCTCCTTACGGAGCTCCTCCACCTGTCGTCCCTCCAGGCTCCGGCGCTCGACGGCCCGCGGTGAAGTCTTTGTTGACGACGGCACTATCCAGCTCCTCTGCCATCATCAACACGGAGCCGATGGACTCCTTCAGCCGCACTCTGGCAGCCCCCTTGATGTTCCCGCACCTGTGAACCGTGTCCAAGGGCAGCCCCGCAGCTTTTTCTGGGCCTCCGTGACGGTAACAATGTCCGGGTCCTCTATTTTGCTTCGGGGGGGACCTTCCCCTTCCCCACAGGGTCTCCACCCCGAGGGTCGGACAAACGTCCGAGTCTCTCGTCAAAATTCCTGCCGCCGGGACTTCGGCGACTTTACCGGGCCTTCATGGCCCACGGGCATTCAGGTCCTCCGTTACGACGGGCTGGGGGAACTTGGACGGCTTCCCGCCCGCCGCCCCGGAAGTGAGCGTCCATCCGCGTGCGGCGCTTCGCCACGGCCGCTTTTTCTTCATCGACACTACACCCGGACATCTCGTCCTCCACCAGCATCGAGCGCGTCGAGCGCGTAGAGCGCGTCGACGACGCTGAGGAAGGCCGAGATGCCTCGCGACCTCTCGCGAGACGGGCCGCGACCTCGCCGACCGCACCGTGTCGGCGTCCGCTAGCGTGATGGAGTCCTTCCATGGACCTTCTACTAACACCCGGCTCATCACTGGTCTCCTCGTCCCCTCTCGGGGGACTTCTTCCCAGGGGCTGCTACCACCAGCCCCTCAAATACGTGGGACTGACCACGCCCCGGCTAAGTCGGTGCGACGGCATGGAGGATTCTCCTCCCGATGAACGGGTGGTTTCCCTGGGGTATTACTTTTTTAAGATCGGCCATGTCATCATTTTTCCTTTTTTACCCGGGTCTGGTCCCGCATACAAAATAGAAGAAAGAAAACGAAATACAAAACAAAAAAGCAGAAAAGAACAAAGGACAGAAAAGAATAGACAATAAGCAACTAAAAGAAACAAAATAAAACCAAGAAAACTAAAAGAAGACAAAACAAGAAGAATTTACAAATAAATAACTAACCTAACTATTTACACTATTTACAAATTTGGACGAGCGCCGAATACGACACCCGCCCCCTAACCTACTCGCCGGACTATCACAAAATACTAACCTAACCTAACCTTTTTTTTTTTTTTTTACAAGGGGAAATCCGTCATGGAGACCCGCACGCCCCGGGGGAAGCGTGGGGGTACTGCCGGACTCCTACCGGCTAAAACCCCTTGGTGTCCTCCGAGCGCTTTGGTGCCGGGGTTACGGGATCAAATGATATTCAACCGTAAACCCCGGCAGCGCGGGCTCTTCAGCCCAACTCCTGAGTGGCACGCGCGGACACCACGCGCGCCTACTCCTGGCCTCATACCTCCTTAGGTGACAGCTGACGCCCCCGCGTCAGCTGCCGCGAGGCCCGTGGTGGGAGGTGACGGGCCGTACTCGGCCTCCATCTCCTCCACTCTCGCCACTTTCGCCGGGCGACACCCTTTGGTGCTGCCCATACGGTGGTCCGCCTTCTTCTTCGCCGCCGCGCAATAGGGGCAGTGCGGCGAGGGGGCGGTGCACGATGCGGCCTTGTGGCCGTCTTGTCCGCAGCGAAAGCAAGCTCCGCCGCGGTCCTCCTTGGCAGTGCACCGCTGGCCCACATGACCTGTGAGCAGGCAGCGGTAGCACCGCATCGGCCGGGGGTCCAAAGACCGCACCCGTGCCATAGTCCACCCCACTCTCAGCTTGCCGGCGTCGACCAGCCGTTTGACAGCTCCAATAGGGCAGCGCACCCAGATGGAGCCACTCCCTGAGGGAGAGCGCCGGATCTCCCCCGTTTTCACGGAGGCCTCGGCGCAGTCTCCCTCGTGCGCAACGGCTGCCACCACTTCAGCTGCCGTTGTAGCGTCGTCCAGATCCAGGATGCGGAATTCCGCGGACTTCACTGGTCTGGACACGCTGACCACACCCGCCGGTAACACTTCGGCCAGTTTAGCGGCGAGGGCATCCGCCTTCCCGCCACTCTCCTCCACCGGTCCCGGCACCTCGAGTATGCGGGACCCCGTTATGCCTTGTATGGCCAGCCTAAAGCCCAGCTCGGTGATTCCGAGGGCGTCCAACTTGATCTTCTGTTGGGCCTCTCGGAGCACCGAGCTGTAGCTCGATCCCGCCTCCGCAGCTCCCGGCTGCAACGTCAATACTATCGCCGAAGATCGCGGAGTACGGAATTGTCTCTTCCTTGCCCTTTTCCTCTTGGCGGCCTCATTCTGGGCCTCCGTTGTAGCCTTCTTTTGGGCGGGCTTAGCCCCACCTGTAGGCGTCTGTGTGGATGGAGCCGACTCCTCTCCCTTTGCCATCCTGGCACGCTTCCCTCGCCGGACGACGGTCGTCCACTGCTCCGACGAGGGAGCCGGCTGAGAGGCACTCACCCCTGCTCTGCTTGTAGTGGCTACAGGGGCCGTACTTCCTCCTCCTTTCTTGGCTGCCCCAGGTGTTCGAGGTGCAGCCGTTGTCTTTCTAGGCGGCGGTTGTCGAGGCCTACCCACCAGCTCCTCTATCCTCTCAAACCGGGCATTAAAAATGTCACCGATTTGGCGGACAATTCTCGCCTCGGCGCCCTCGGTGATGGGTGGCGTTTCGCTCGACTCAACACCTTGAGCGCCGGTTGTCTCGTCCATGGCCGCATTTTGTGGCTGGTTTGCCAATGCAGCTTTGGCTGCCGCCAATTCGTTCAGCGCTGTAGTGAGCGCCAAGCGGTCCTCGTTACTCCGTTTCATTATCTCCTGGTAGGAGTTCCGGGTCGCGGTGATCTCCGCTCCCACTCCGCCCTCTCGGCCTTAAGCATCGCCAGCTCATTCATGTCCTGGCCGGCGGACCCCATGGTCTTTTTCTTGAGGTCCCTCAACTCCACATAATATTTTGCGGACTCCTCCCTAATACCCGTCATCAACTCGCGCATATCCTCCATGTCGCGTGCCAACCGGGAATTCTCCCGACGTAATGCTGCGCACTCGGTTGATGCGGTTCTTCCCACCAGGGATTCAGACGCCGCGCGGATGGTAGCAACGGCGTCCTTTATCTCCTTAACGATTGTGCCCTTCAGGTGGCCGGACTTCTTCACGGCATCAAGCACCTTCAGGGCACACTCTTGGATCTCCGAGACCAAGACGTCGGAGCGTTTCGCGTCCTCGTCTGAGGGTCTGCGGGTGGTAGGGCGCTTCGCCGGTTTCGGAGTAGCCACTTTTACTCCAGCTGCGGCCTCCAACTCCCTATCTCTCTGGGTAGCGGCAGCCAAGTCGGCCTTCGCCTGCACCAGTTCGGGGTCACTTTCCTCCCTAGACGACTTTTTTGCCGGCCCGGCACTACTGCCACCCACTTTTGTGACGGGCGTCCTTCTTGCCGCAGATGATATTGCGGGTCTCTGCACTGGTGTTTTAAACACAATCTCGGGTGCTTCGTCTTCCGGTTTGGATTTTTCAACGATCCTGCGCTTTCGTTGAGATCGTCGTTGCGGCAACGGTGTTGATGTGCCGGCAACGTCAGATCCCGCCTCCGAATCCAAGGAGAGACTTGATCCCGAGAAGTCGGAATCCAAACCCTCCATTGCTTCCGCCTCCATCTCGTCCAGCAGCCTCTCAACAAACTCCCTCCTTGCTGCATCTACCTCCTCCTCATCCTCCCACTCATGGCCTAACTTGTCCCCCCCAGAATACTTGGGACAGCCCACCCCCGGCGAATCCGGTGCGGTGGGGAAGGATTCTCCAGCTTTGCTGGTACCTTCCTGGGGTAATAGTTTTTTCGGTTCTGCCATGTCATCTGTTTTCCTTTTTTACCCGGGTGAGGTCCCGCGGAAGGCGAAAAATGAAAACGAAGAATATGGGGACAGAAAGGATATTAGGACAGGAAAGGAAACAAAACACAAACAAAACGAAGAAAACAAACGAAAACCAAGAAGAAACTATGTACATATTTACAACCTAAACCTAACTATTTACAAATAAATAACTTAACCTAACTATATACACACACTATTTACACTCCTACCTACTCGCCGGACTATCGGCCGACATAGTAGCAGTATCCCGAAGGAACGTCTACTATCCCGCCCAGGGCGTACCA